GTGCCAGCAAGTCGAAGCCGCTTTTCAGTGAAGCGGGTCATCCAATCGCCAAATGATCCAATGAATGATTTGAAGATGCTCCAAGAATAATTTTAATTAAAACCGAAAAAGGCTCTCTTGAGAGTCAACTAGACTGCCACAGTAAACGGTGTAGAAGCAAATCAACAGGAAACCGTCTTCACCTTTGCGCGAAAATGACCAGTGCGTCTACATTTTCAAGTGAAATGATGGTCAGTTGAGCATATTTGCAGTGTGAACCAGGCGCGGAAGAAATCCCAAACAGCTTATTAAAATTGCCATCAAATGTGCCAATCCTACCCGAAGCGTGGTACTGACATACATTTCTCTAGCCAATCGGCAGTTGTACGGTGTGAATATAACATTTAAATGTAAGGACTCAGTTCGCTGAGCGGACAATGTAGAAATTTCGAATAATGTGCTACTCGAACGCATTTAAGTAGTGTGTATAGAGCATACAAATAATAGGATGTAATTGATTGATTTATGGTGACCAGAACTACCATTCTGGCATGTTGACGGCTGGACTTGATTCCCTTCTAGTTTATCAACTCCATTCTTCGCCTTAAAAACAGTTTTCAGTAATTAGGCAACCCTCAAGCAAATATGAGATGTATTTAATATATTTCGTTTAAAGTGACAAATGGATTTAATTACTTTGGCAAAATAGGCTGAACAAATCTCGTAGAAATGATATATTGGTAGTCTCGAGAACCGTCTTATAGACGAAAAATAAGCCCCAAGACATGTCTACACGCACTCATACAGACAAGTCTCGAAGTGCTCAGAGTTTAGAGTAGCCTGCATCAATGGTCATAATAGCTTATTCAGACAAAATGGTGGCACTTTTGGCAAAATTGTAAGGGCCAGATGTATGATTGGCATGTGAAGTTCCCTCGGCTTGTCAGACACACCTGGGCTGAGTTCTGAAGGAGAGACAATACCAGCTGGCCGAGGAGAATAGGTGCGCTCCAAGTCCAACCGATAAGGAGCAACGAGATGGGCTTACTTTCAGTCATGTCCGACTTTTCGCCAGTTCACACTTCCCATTTCTCCTCCTTTCCCGCTTCAGGTGGGGCTCATTTCCTTGTGTCCTTACGCCTGTACAAATTAATAGCTTCACAGCCTTACGGTCGGTTGCATAAGCTAATCATAGCTTCATTTACTCAATGTCAGAATATGCAGGGCCAATTTGTTAATCGGCCTCCTTGGCCGCTCCGTTGAGTCTGCTAATCCTGACTTTATCTGTCCTAGCCTCACCACTTTGACGGGGGTAAAGGCTCCAGCGTTGTTTTTCTCTTGGCAGCAGCAGAGGCAGCCGCGGCCTAATAATACAGATAGCATTAACCTTTAACGTGGTACCACGAGAAGAGGGGAAATCGCGCGAGTGAACTAGAGCCAGCTCTAGTCGTGTCAGCGACAACGTAGTGGTGCTACTCTTGGGGAGACGGTTTTCATAGCATGACCAGGAAATTTGCAGTTTCACATGTCCATGTGGTTGCGACCGCCTGGATTGGCACTCAGCCGTCTCCGGACCCAATTTTGCATAGGTTGTGACATCGGCAAACTGCTAACAAATGCAACTATTTCGACATGCCAGTGTGTACTCCTTGCGCTAATCTTCAACATGGTACAATCACATTCCGGCCCCTCTTCGTCCTCTTCTGAATGAAGATTTACGATGAAAATGGCACCTTCCGTTGGAAGTGAGGGCGACACTTTCTCCATCAAAAATGGGCCATGTGCTTAAATCCACGCAGGATTGGTACATTTGAGGGCAATTTTCAGCAAATTGTTTGGGATTTATTTAGCAAACATAGTGAATGGAGGAAGTGTCAGCCCTACGTCTATGGAAAGATGCCATTTTCATCCTAAATCTTTATTCAGAGAAGAAGGAGGAAAAGGAGGGGCCTGAATGCGAGTGAACCATGTGGAAAATTAGCAGGAATATGCATTAATTTGTCGGAATATTTCAATTTGTTACATGTTAGTTAGTTGGCCGGTGTCACAGACTGAAACATGTTATGGTTATCGATACGTTCTTGACATCTTCAGTTGTTGACGTCTGAAAAACCATTCCTTTTCAAGCAATCCACTTGTGAAATGAAGAATCATATGTCCTCATTTAAATCACATTCCGGCCGCTTGGTACCGCTCGCTTTGGTATTGACAGGCATTGTTTGTCCTGATGATGAAGTCTATTTTACGCAAGGTTCACTCTGGGTAAGAGGAAATGGTGTGCAGCACTCCCAGCCGGACTCGAAGCATGACCAATGGGTCACAGGAAAGATGTGAATTTGGAGAAGGGTCAATTCCTGTCTATATCACTTTCTGTGAATGGATTGTCGACGAAACAAAGTTGTGCTTCTTATAGCGATTGACAACCTTACTTATTTTTCGCTTGTAAGTAGATTTTCGAGACTGCCATATTGATCTCCATA